AGAAGAAGAAGAAGAAGAAGAAGAAGAAAAAGAAGAAGAAGAAGAAGAAGAAGAAGAAGAAAATTGACAGTACAATATAAGAAAAACATCCACTAACTAGCGGTATGGAACATGTAAAGGACACGTTGTGGCGTCGTTTCTGGTTCAGCAAATCTCGTCACTCGGAGTGAATATTTTGGCCCTTTTTTGAAAACTAAAGCATTTAATTTGTTTTTTGATTCAATTGTTTCAATATTTAACTTTTAAAATTATTATCTCGTATTCCTTTTTCCCCCTTAAATGTTTGGTAATGGTTACTATAATAATTTAACAATATTTCAACTTTAAAAATACCTATTTAAAAAGTACAATCATTCAATCGCTAACTCGGTGATTATTTATTAATTAATTTCTTTTTTTTTAATTCTTTTTTTTTTTACTATTCTTTTTTCATTGTTGAAGTTTATTTTATTGTTTTACTTATTTTCTCCTTTTTTATCTTGTCGTAAATTATATCCGCTAAAACAATTTTTTTTACTCCTTAAAGGTTAAATTGCATTCATTATTTTAGATTTGTCACCGTGATAGGCAAGTGAAACACAGAGCCGCCGTCCTTTTCATTTTACCATGTCCAAGTTTTCCTGACTGGAGCACACTCCAAGGTGTGTGTTGTGTCGTTAACAAAAACTTTCCCTCCTGGTTCTTGAGACAGAACCGGCAGGTCAACGGCCAAGCCAAGGTTTGTTTCGTCGTGACTAACCGAAGAAAAACAAAACAAAACACTGTTTCGTTTGACTGACTCTTATTCTTTCTTGGTTGTTCTTTTTTTTTTTTTTATTTCACCCAATCGTGGCGCCCGCAAACGTTTCCGCATGTGGACTCGTAGATAAGTGATGTCGCTAGCGCTTGCGCATGCGTCCCTGCCCTCGACCGCCCCTTCCGGGTCAAACTTCTTCCACCAAGACAGGCAACTCCACAACATCTCTCGAGACTCCGCCGGGAGTAACAGTAACAGCCCGGAGAGTGGCAGCAGCGAGACAGTGAAGAGCAGCTCTGTCTCCCCCTTGAACGATCAGCAGTTCCAGCAACAGCAACAGCAGCTGGGTCAGCAGCAGCAGCAGCTAGGGCAGCAGCAGCAACAGCAGCAAGTTGTGAATTCTCCTGTGTTCCCCGTTGGATACCCGCAGGCCGACGGAGCGGGTGGGAATGATTTGAAGTACCCCGGAGTCTACAATATCTTACACAATATTAACGGAGGAGGAGCAGGAGCTGTAGCCGCAGGCATGCCGTCTGCCTTCGGAGTCCTGGACGGAGTGGAGGTGATGATGAATCTTCTTGTGTCATGTGATCTGTGTACATACCTACTACATACCTATTTTCCCTCTTCTATTTCTGTCTTATTCTTTGGCATCCTTATTC